CGAATTATAAAGAAGGCGAAACATATATACGGTCGTCATCAGATCTACATTAAAGGAATAAGTAGATCTGAATTTCATTTAAATTGGTGATTGGCATATTTATAAATTCTGCATAATTAAATTTACATTCAAATGAGCTTAATGTCACTTAGAAGGTTACAATGCTTGGTTAGTTGAAGCCATATATGGTAAAAGAAAGAGGAGTCACTACCTGCAGATACGAACCCGTTCATTCCCAGTATAGGAATAGCTTCAACGGCACAACTACCCTAGATAAAATTAAGAACATATATAAGTTGTTGCAAATGAATTTAAAAAATCCACGTGATAAGGTCAAACATCATATCAAACGATCATGTAAGGAGAAGTATTGAACCCGCTCATGAAAACTAAATGGATCATGTCTTTAAATTGCAAGAAAAAATGGCGAAAAAAAGTAACTTTGAGTTCACAAGAAGCAACACTATGTAAGAAAGGTAACAAGGGTGACATCTAAATGAACATAGAGAGGCACGGCCTATGAACGGTCAACTGCAAAGGCACTAAAGTCAACATGTTCTTGTAATACGACACAATGTCAATATAATAATACTAAAAATATACTAAGATTTTAAGAAAAGTAAAGATATTCATAATTTATGAAATAATTTAAATGTTGTACGCCTTTAATGACTGATTTTGCAGACTGTGTTACCATATATCTACTGCGTTACTAACGCAGTTAGGGCTATCACGCAGTTGGGCTATATTACTCCATTTTCAAGCTCATATATATTTGAACAGCTTCTCAGACTAAGAGAAGGGACAACCTTTTCAAGCGCACTATTGGCAGGTAACAGGTACAATGTGTCGATCCAATGTCCAAAAACAAGCGGTGCGGACTTTCTGATAAACTTTTAAAGATGATGAGATCACTCTGAAAGTGTTTATAAGTTGGAAAGTAAGCAAAGTTTAAATTTGACATCATTTGTGTCGCAATGAATGGTTGTTTATACACCCTATTAGCATGATGTTTTGCAATGTAAATTGGAAAGACAAATACCAGTGGGTCGCACTATTCACGAGTTTTTACATTTTGCACAATCGCGACTTCCCGGCCATTTCCGTCAAACTTCGGATTAGTTATAATGAATAATAGCTGAGATGTTGCGATTGCTTTTTGCAATCTGAAATGCAGAGGACACGTCCAATTAAAATTCAATTAAATTATAAGTTTTCATTCATAAAAGACAAAAGCAAAGTTCAGGTTAAAGAATGTATTTAGGTATACATGTACCATGGATAACTTGAATCACATATTTAATTCACAAAGCACATATAATTAAATTATCAATGTGTGACTTTCATAAGTCATCAATTCAAAATGCTTTGTTATTCAACTTGCAAATACACTTATAATCATTCAAATATAGTATTCGCCATAAAGACCTACTAAGAGATTGTCATAACATCTCCTTAGTAGTATAATCTTCAAGACTGGCCGTTACCAGCTTGCAAGATTTGGCCTTTCCTAAGATTCAATGAGTCTCAGGCAAAGACATCAACAACATAATAGCTACCATAACAACATAAATGTCAATCAACTTACAGTACATACAATAAACACATGTTGCCATTTAAACACTGAAATACATGTACATCAATGAATGAACCAATATCCAAATACTTTTATTCATTCATATAAAACGTATCTAAATGTTTAAAGAGTGGGTACTGTAGGGTGGGAAATTTCAATTTTAAACAACATGTGATCCTAATGGTCAAACTTATACAGAATGACAAATATTGTCAAGGAGAAAAGAAGAAAATATTTTACCGCCAATGATATAAACGACCAATAAAAATTTGTTATGCCAATATGATGCATAAATAAATTTAGACCAATGAAAAGATGTTTTGTAAAGGTCAAATCATTCAACCTGATAATTAAGTTATTTTTAGATCAAAATAAACAAAATTATAAGTTTTCATTCATAAAAGACAAAAGCAAAGTTCAGGTTAAAGAATGTATTTAGGTATACGTGTACCATGGATCACTTGAATCACATATTTAATTCACAAAGCACATATAATTAAATTATCAATGTGTGACTTTCATACGTCATCAATTTAAAAATGCTTTGTTATTCAACTTGCAAATACACTTATAATCATTCAAATATAATATTCTCCATAAAGCCAAACCCAAGGCCATACAAAGAAAACAAAGCATATGTAATACAAAATACAACAAAATACATTTCACTAAGAGACTAACTTTATCATCTCCTTAGTAGAACAATCTTCAATTAAAGTGGCCATAGCCATTTTGTAAGAAGAAGCCTATCCTGGAAAATAATATGTCTCAGGCAATTTAAGACAAGAACATTAACATTATAAACCTATTTTCTATGAAAACCCAAGACAATAGACTTTTAAAATACTGACAAAAATCTCTTGTTGCAAGTTATTCTTTAAATTACATAAACAGGTTTTCAACATAATGTAAAGCACTACCACAATCTTTTATTTTAAATGTGAAATCGTATTAATAAAAAATTCTCTTAAGCGCCTAGTACCCTCCAAATTCAAGTGCAAACCCCCATCCTTAATAGCAAAATATTCCCGACGAGGAATAACACACTTAAGAAAGGGCTTGAATGTCCGAATAAACAAAACATGCCTATCCTTACATAGCAGAGCCAGTTTGTTATTTAGAATTTTGATCCTGTTGCCTGTAACCTCAAAATCAATAGGCCTACGAATAATAGCTGAAACAATAATATTTCCAGAAGAATGTTGACGTACATTAGAAATTAGATCATTGAAAGAAGATAAAATTTCATCTACAGTATGTGAACCAGTCACGTCATATATTTTTAGTACCAACATGTAATAAAATGTAATCCGACCTTAAGTCAACATGACCCTGTGATATTCTAAAACTTAATCTAGAAATGTTAATTCCCGGAAAGGCTGTAACATGTGTGTCCCAAATACCGGAAACATTTTTGACGAAGTGGTGGATGCTTCACATTTTCTGAAACACATAAAAAATTAATTTTAAACAACATGTGATCCTAATGGTCAACTTATACAGAATGACAAATATTGTCGAGGAGAAAAGAAAGAAAATATTTTACCGCCGATGATATAAACGACCAATAAAAATTTGTTATGCCAATATGATGCATAAATAAATTTAGACCAATGAAAATATGTTTTGTAAAGGTCAAATCATTCAACCTGATAATTAAGTTATTTTTAGATGAAAATAAACAAAATTGATCAATTGACCGTTGAATTTCCGATGTTTGAAACATTTCTTAATAAGATTAACCATATACTTTGGTAGTTTGGCAAGTGTTTTGGTTATATCTTTAAAATTTTCTTCTCCGACGGAAGGTCATTGAACATTCAAATGTCTGGGTCAATATTGCCAACTTGTAGCGCAACTAAGGGGGACCACGGCGTCGGAGTTTGGTACATGGATATGAACGAGCATTCTCCCTTAGATAGTAAATTACAGACAGAAGTTGACGATTTTTTCAATTCTAATAAATTTCTTTAAATATATTTTTGTTACTTTTCTAACTTTTCATGTGATTTTTTCAGATACATTATCTCACATTTTTTTCTTTTAAAAAATGTATTTATTTCATTAAGACAATTAATTGATCATTGTTCAATTACAACTGAACTAACACAATATCTAAATTCTATTAATATGTCACAGATTGAAATTATATGGTAATGGCAGCCGTGGATTTCCATAGTTTTGTTATTAAAGTGGAAACATCGTGCACGCGCGTTTTTATTCGGTTTCGTTTGGTTTTTATCGTGTGATTTTAACTTCCGGTATTGAATCGGTGAAAATCGACAGTTTCCGTCAGTGGTGTACATTGGGGGCCTCCGTGGCCGAGTGGTTAAAGTCGTTGACTTGAGATCACAGGTCCCTCACCACTGTAGGTTCGATCCTCACTCGGGTCGAAATCTTTCATGTGAGGAAGCCATCCAGCTGGCTTACGGAAGGTCGGTGGTTCTACCCAGGTGCCCGCTCGTGCCTGAAATAATGCCCGGAGGGGCACCTGGGGTCTTCCTCCACCAATAAAGCTGGAAAAAAATCGACGAAAAATCTCGGCGGGACGCTCTAGGATGGCCCGACTTGAGTGTACGGTCGCCCATATGGGCTTTCCGGCGGCGACCTTAAATAAACGCAATTAAAAAAAAAAAAAAAAAAAAGTGGTGTACATTGTCGATCTCACCCGTGCAATATCGTGAACACTGCATGGTCACTCGTTCTTTCTTGTTACTTATCCAATTGTTGTGTTTGTTATGTATGATTCTATGTGAGAGAGATATCCATTGGTTCATTTAAATATTTTTTACTTCTGCGCACTGTTTGCTTTTCCTGTCCCGCTCACTCTTTACAGTCATCTCTTACGAGTCAGACGTTAAGTATAACTAGTTAAATTTATTTAACATTAGATCTACTTCTTACTTTATATTTCAATTTATATTGAAATACTTTATATAAGTAAAGATCTTTAATTCTTCGTTATAACAGACGCTGTGGTAAGAAATAGTATTAAGATAAAGATATTGATTGTAATCTTATTTATGTATTTTTGTATTTTCTTAAGCCGCGTCGATTGTGTATATATTGTTATTTCAATGTATTTTGTTTTTATATGTATTGTACTTGTTAGATGTATAATTATTAATCTATTATATTTTTAGACCATTTTTACTTGGATTCATTAAAAACATCGAACCTACGCCCAGAGTTTGTTTCTTTTCCACAAGAAATATATGACCTTGTGACAAATACATTAATAATCATCAAAACATTTCATTTTTTTTTTCATTATTACTGTATTTTTTTGCATTAAAAATACCCGTTAATCATTCTAAACTATTGACATTAATCACTGAAAATAAACTTGTTATTGCCTATTTGTCATTCTGTCTTTTAAATTTAATTACGTATATAATATGGAGACCGTCGATTTGTGTTATAACATTCTAATCGACGGTCACCTACAAATGACGGTCTTCGAGGACCGTCGAAGACCGGAGACCGGAGACCGTCGATTAGTATCCCCCTAATTCTAATAATCTAACAAAATATTTCGGTAAATAGTTAGCTAGATCAGTAAAGTTAGGTTCACAAGGTATTTTTGATTATCAAAATATAGAGTTATTAATTTTGCATACTGTATACATTTGGCATTTTAGAAAAAAAGATTTTTTGAAAAAAAGTTCATGACCAGCTTATTCTTACGAGCGCTATTATTTAACTTCCGGTTGTAAATCATAATTCTAAAAATGTTTAATATTTGCAAATGTCTCCGAAATGCAAAAGTGTCATGTAGAAAAAATATATTTAATGAATATATCAAAACAGTTTGTATACCTTTACGAACATATTATGTCGACGAGGCTCCAACAATTGGTAAAAGTCCGGACAAAACCAACCCTGACTACAAGGTTAGTAGTGCTTAATGAATGGGTGGGGTATTGATCAATAACATATACAGTCGGTGCGTGGTTTGGATTGTACGTATGTATGCCTTATTCTCATCGATTCGTGCCTTCTCATCGATTCGTGACCTAAATAATTGTCTGGTATAAATACTTCTGCAAGGACATACACCATCCGAAAACTACACAAGTTTTATTAGACACTCGATTTGACAATCCTATCCAATCAAAATGCGTAATTGAACAGGTGTAAATGACCTTACCCTACAATCAGCTGGCGACCTAATTACTTTAAAATATTCGATATTAATGTTTTAATTTATCAAACACACTTACACTTAAGCCAAAAAAATATTCATTATGCTGTAAGAATTTACTTAAGACTTTGAAACATATATTGATCAGATCGGGCTGAAAATAACCATGCGAACATTTAGTTGTGTGAGCACCTATATTTTGATGACGTCACAGGGTGAATCGGATTTCACGAATCGATGGGTAAGCGTCCAGCTGAGCAAGACAGTCATGGTTGACATGTTCAGTTGCTCTAATCTTTGAGCGGTTGTTTTTAGAAGTAATTTAAAGTTTGTGAACTTTTAGATAATGAATTTATTTAACAAATGCACTAATTGAACTGTATGTATGTCTGATATTTGTTGTGCAAGTGCAATTTTTCCAAATAAGAGTCACGAATCGACGAGAGAAAAGCATATATGACAACTCCCACATATATGTTTAATTAAAAAATTTCTTTTTCAAAATGTATTTAAAACTTTTTTTCAATAAAACAACAAAAGAAAGTTGTTATTATAATTTCAATTTTCATCCATTTATCAGTAGATCTATAGGCCTTTTACAATACAATTTTTCCATAGCAACCGATGTTGCATTTCGCGCATGCGCATTCTGCGTAGAGCAAAAGCTCAATAACGATAGACTACATTTTGCATACTTGAAGGCTATAAAAGACATGATTAATATGAAATTAGGTGCTACCTAGGCGTGGAAAGCTCTTATGTATTATGGTTTTAGCATAACATGTTTCGTGTACATGTAAACCAGATCTTTTTTGCTGGTATTTTGTACCATAAACAAAAAGAATAAATTGGTGGTGTTCAACCTCTCATCGGAACGTAAAGGGGGACCACTGCGCATGCGTCGGCGTTTGGAAAATCCTGTCAGCCATTTTTGTTAATCTCTAATCACAGTTGTTGTTTTAACGATATTTTTAATGTGCTAATTTATCAAAAAGGGATATGTTAAAGTATTTTTATAATCGTTATTTGTCCAATTCTTATCAATGAAATGCAGGTTTATTATCTGATTCTGTACATCATTCTTTCACCGGAAGTGTTACTTAGCATGCGTCTGCTAGCAATAGTCTTAATAATGTAGTCGCTCATTAAAAGTGCTCTGAAATCTTTATTTAGCTCAAAAGGATTTCAAAATGGCGACGCCCATTTAACTAAGGATTTTTTCACAACTCATTAGGTATAGGATATATATTATTTTTGAAAATTTCAGTTAGTTTGATTTCATTTGAATTGATATGTGTCATTCATGTTATCTAAGACTGCTTTGGCGTATAAGTTATGTCACCCAGAAAACAGAATTTTTGTGATGAATTAAAGCGGTTTGTACTTCAAATGTGTATTGATATTTATAACAGATATACAAAGTTAGCGGGACTAATAATTCAATAACCAAAAGTCCTGTTCAAGGTATCATACAATGACTTTTTCATCAGTAATTTAAATTGAAACAGCAGGGTGTTAAAGATACAATTTTATTACCCATATGTATTACATATTATTACACAATCAGTATTCCTTTGAAAGTGTATTGGCAATGCGGTAAGTGTCAAACAGTTTGACACGTGATCGAGTGACCGCTTAATTGTTATTTACCAGCTATAGTTTTCAGTATCATTCAACCGGGACGTTTTTGTACCAATCCATGACATAGTATATCACATAGAATTATGAAATTATCGTAATTTAAGTAGCTTTTTAAGTTTATACCATCAATGTTTATTAATTTTGTGAAGTGACAATTAAATAGTGTATGTGGCGTGCATTTTAATGTTTTATGAGAAACCAGATAAAATGTGTGTTATTTCATAACCCATCTTAACCTATCAAGAGTTTGAAACATTATTTAAATAATGTATGTGTCTTAAAAAGTTTCTGATTGGCATCACAGTCAAGTCGGATAAAGGATAATATTAGGTATTAGCTGAAAACTAAAAAAACATAAATTAGCACGTGTTCGGACTTATTTTCAGAATAATAATTAATACACCTCTATTCTAAATGTTATAAAATTTCTTTAGTTTTTATAAGGAAAATTTTGAACAATGAATAAATTGACTTCTTTATTTGATAATATATATACTTCGACATTTTTTTACAATAATTATCTCATATTCATGTCCATGATCGTAATGGGGGAATTCTTAAATAATTGTCTTTTCTGTGCCTTTTTGTGGCAATTTGGCCACAAAGCTATAAATGTATCTTTCATGCTTGTGTAAAAAGCTAGTTTATATGAATAATAATGATTTCCTAATTTTTACGTTAAACTAACTCATAATTATCAATGAACTTCTACTACATTTCTATTGTAGGACAACGCTTTTTTGCCATACGCAGATTGCGCCTGTGCGAGAAAGTACTGCTTCTGGTCAATTTTTCTTAGGAACGAACCGCGTCGTAAAAAGGTCTTTAAACTTGAATGTAAGCAATTCCGATACAGAAGCAGTACCCATATTTTTCATTTTAACTCTTAATTCTACTTGCATTATTTAAATATTGATACCAAATCAAGCAGATGTATGAACGAGACAAAATTTAAGTGTAATTTTTAAAGTATAAAAAAAAATAATATAAAAACATTTTGTAGATTAAAGATATCATCATGTGAGGCTGTAAGTAACAAAAATGTGTCATATTTCTTGCAGGAGAACTATGAGGTGATGACAAACTTGGTCAGTGAACTTCGTGGAAAAGTTTCGACAATTCTCCAAGGTATTTTTAAAAATTCTCATACCCAAGTCACTCCCAGCTTGATAATATTAAAGGCGCATAACAAAACATTGGTACTTACTGAAAACCAACTTAGATATTACTGTAAAATTAGGTTTTTTGCGGGGCCAAAATGTTTATGAAATCAATATTTCACAGAGCTCCAAATAATTGTTTAATACATTATACCAATTGCCAATAGATCGTGCCAGTACTTAATATCAACTGCCGTATTTATTTTATACCGAACCTGTCTGTTTTGAAGTAAGATAACTCGTCTAGTATGATTGCATGAAACTCGTGACGTGACATGTTAGGTGATTATTGGACAGTACTGTCAGTGGGCGTTACCATGTGACAGTTTACAGCTGATGTCACATAACACTGACGTCACATAATGCTATAAAGTATATTTGAATAAACATGATTTAATCAATAGATTTTTGTCTATTTTTGACAAGGTTTTTAACTTTGGGACCTGAATATTTTAAGAATTATCTCTACATGAACTTAATTTTTTTTCATAATAAGTGTTATTTTGTACTATTGTTTCTTTATTTTTTAGGATATATACTTCAAACTTCAAATATATGTTCCTTATCATTACCCACATGGTGGGTTACAAGATTCATTGCTCTAGCACACATTTTTTCCAGCATTATCCCCCCTTGAACTTGGAATTTATGTGAAAAAATGTTTTTTTTTTTTATAACTACTTCATTACTTAAGGTATGACCACCCTAATGGGCACTATTAGGAACTAAAAAATTGACATCATAGGTCAGATATATACCTTTAAGTACAACTGTATGCAAAATTTAAACAAAGTTTACCGTATGGAAATCCAGTTATGGCCACTTTTCTGAGGGCCTTTTTTTTAGCTCACCTGTCACAAAGTGACAGGGTGAGCTTTTGTGATCGCTTTTCGTCCGGCGTCCGTCCGTCCGTCCGTCCGGCGTCCGTCGTCCGTCCGTAAACTTTTACTTTAAATGACATCTCCTCATAAACCACTTAGCCTATTTCATCCAAACTTCACAGGAATGTTCCTTTGGTGGTCACCTTTAAAAATTGTTCAAAGAATTTAATTCCATGCAGAACTCTGGTTGCCATGGCAACCGAAAGAAAAAACTTTAAATATCTTCTTTTAAAAAACCATAAGAGCTAGAGCTTAGATATTTGGCATGAAACATCTTCTAGTGAGTGTCTACCAAGTTTGTTCAAGTAAAAGCCCTGGGGTCAAAATTGGCCCCGCCCCAGGGGGTCATTGATTTTCCCTATATGCATATAGTAAAAACTTAAAAAATCTTCTTTTAAAGAACCCAAAGAGCTAGAGCTAAGATATTTAGCATGAAACATGTTCTAATGGTGTCTACCAAGTTTGTTCAAATAAAAGCCCTGGGGTCAAAATTGGCCCCGCCCCGGGGGTCATTGATTTTCCCTATATGCATATAGTAAAAACTTAAAAAATCTTCTTTTAAAGAACTCAAAGAGCTATGGCTAAGATATTTAGCATCAAAACATTTTCTAATAGGTGTCTACCAAGTTTGTTCAAATAAAAGCCCTGGGGTCAAAATTGGCCCCGCCCCAGGGGGTCATTGATTTTCCCTATATGCATATAGTAAAAACTTAAAAAAATTTTTTTTTAAAGAACCCAAAGAGCTATGGCTAAGATATTTAGCATCAAACATGTTCTAATGGGTGTCTACCAAGTTTTGTTCAAATAAAAGCCCTGGGGTCAAAATTGGCCCCGCCCAGGGGTCATTGATTTTCCCTATATGCATATAGTAAAAACTTAAAAAATCTTCTTTTAAAGAACCAAAAGAGTTAGAGATAAGATATTTAAGCACGAAACATGTTCTAATAAGTGTCTACCAAGTTTGTTCAAATAAAAGCCCTGGGGTCAAAATTGGCCCCGCCCCGGGGGGTCATTGATTTTCCCTATATGCATATAGTAAAAACTTAAAAAATCTTCTTTTAAAGAAATCAAAGAGCTATGGCTAAGATGTTTAGCATCAAACATGTTCTAATAGGTGTCTACCAAGTTTGTTCAAATAAAAGCCCTGGGGTCAAAATTGGCCCCGCCCCGGGGGTCATTGATTTTCCTTATATGTGTATAGCAAAAACTTAAAAAATCTTCTTTGAAAAAAACCAAATAGCTAGAGTTAAGATATTCAGCATGAAACATCTTTTAGTGAGTGTCTATAAAGTTTGTTCAAATAAAAGACCTGGGGTCAAAATTGGCCCTGCCCCAGGGGGTCATTGATTTTCTTTATATGTGTATAGCAAAAACTTAAAATCTTCTTTGAAAAAACCCAAATAGCTAGAGTTTAGATATTAAGCATGAAACATCTTCTAGTAAGTGTCTACAAAGTTTGTTTTCAAATAAAAGCCCTGGGTCAAAACTGGCCCGGCCCCAGGGGTGTCATTGTTTTTAACTATATGTGTATAGTTAAAATTTAAAAAAAATCTTCTTTTAAAAAGCCCAATGAGCTAAAGCTTAGATGTCTAGCATGAAACATCTTCTTATGGGTGTCTACCAAGTTTGTGCAAATAAAAGCCATTGGGTTAAATTGGCCCTGCAACGTTGGGGGGGGGGGG